AGAACTATAGGAATACATGTTCAAATTAGAGCTAACACATTTAGGTGGCCATTTTATGTTATTATACCTAGAAAATTACTTTATAAAATTTACCCTAATCATTTAAAAAATTAAAGTATTTTATTTACACTTAAATCTGTTTATGTACTCAACACATTTGACCTCAATTGATCATATTTCACTTCAAGAAATCCTTGTAAATAAACTTTAATCCCAAAGGACAGCTCCATTAATTATGCTTTCAGGGAAGGTATAATTAATGGATCTGTACTTAGAATTATGGCATTCAGTTAATATTAATAGTGCAAACTCACTTTACCAAGCACCTTAAGAGTACTCAAACAGATCGTTTTTATATGGCGGAAGCCTTCCTTCAGTGTTATCATGTGGAACACAAAATCATGCAAAGAAAAAGAAAGAAAAGAAAGAAATTAGGATCAGCTTTTCCATGAGATCTTAATAGAAGATTAAAAATTCTTTAGTAGATAGTCTATGTACCCCAATAAAATGGTCTGTCAAAGTTCATGTTGTGGAAGTTATACAAGCCCTTGAAAGCTTAGAAGCTTTCAGTAAAATGACAGTCATGTATTATAATCCTAAAAAAATCTGGTAATATTGCTATGAACAATATTTTAAAATAGACTTTTTATAATATTTTAAAATAGTTTCAGATTTATAGAAAAGTTGCTGAGATAATACAGAGAACTCTTGTGCATCCCTCATCCAGTTCCCTCTGTTATGATCATCCTACCTCAACAGAGTAAATTTGTCACAACTAAGAACCAGTGTTGGTTCATGAATATTAACTAAACTCAGCAATTTATTTTGATGTCACCAGTGTTCCCTAAAGTCCTTTCTGCTATGCCAGGATTTTGTCCAAGATTACACTTTATATTTAGTCATCGTAACTAAACATAATCTCTTATACTTCTCAGATTCCCCATGTTTTTGATGAATTTGACTTTGGTCAATGTTTTTGCAAAAAGATCCTCAATTTGGATTTGTCCATTGGTTTGCTCATGATTAGACTGAGTTAATTGATTTTTGGTAGGAGGACCACAAAAGTGAATTACCCTTCACATCACACTATATCATGCTATCTATATGAACACTTGGTTGAGGTAGTGTTTGCCAGTTTTCTCCACTGTAAAGTTACCTCTCCCCCCTTTTCATATACTGCTCTTTGGAAATAAGCCAATAAACACAACCTCACAACCTAAGGATGGGGGTAGGGTGTTAAGTTCCACTTCCTGAAGAGGAGAAGTACCTACCTAAATTACTTGGAATGCTCTATAAGAGAGACTTGTTTCTTTCCCAATTATTTATTTATTTGGTTACTTATTTGTTTATGTATGAATTCATGACTATCTTTTTTGTTTTATACATTCAGATGTTATCTGATACTATGTTATTTATTTTGTTGCTCAAAGTGTTTCATCTTTGGCAATTGAGAAATCTTTTAAGTTTGCTCCTTTGTCTCTTTGGCATGTTTTATCCTTTTATCTTTTGAGCACTTCTTCACTCTCTGACACAACAAAATACTTCAGGATATGATGAATTTTAAAATCATTTTGCCGAGTGAAAAAAGCTAGACCTAAAATAATTTATATTGTACATTTTTGTTTATGTGAAATAAATGAAAGGCCAAAGTAATTTAAAATGATCTAGCACATCAGTGTTTAGTATGGGGTGATAAATACCTCTTTCTCATGTATACACATATCTGATATGCTCAAAAGTAAATACTTGTCTAGATTTTATTATGGAATTTAAAGGTAGTATTTAAGGTTAAGCTCAATCTGGAGAAAAATAAATAAGAATTTAGCATGCATGAGATAGAAATAGAAAGGGTGGAATCTAGTAATTTGGGTGAAATAACGTTTTAAGTGTAGGAAAAATGTTAGGTTCATGTGATTTAACCATCTAGTGTTGGAAAGAAGCAGATGTTTATTGGACCCAGAAGCCGAAGACAAGGTTTTAGGGCACTTGTCAGAATTAAGATAGGCTTCTTATAACCTGTCAAGAACATCTAATACAGTTTTCAAATAAGTTAAACTCCTGAGTGTTACAGGAGAATTAAGGAGATTCCTTCTTTTGGCATCATTTATTTTTTGTACAGAATAAGTCTTCTATATTCCCATGGGATTGACTTTTAACATTGTTATAAACCAGCCATTTCCACAGTCTCTGAAATATATCATAAGCAGATAAAGCCATAGTGCGAATGAAATATTTTATGAAGATACTGTAGAACACATGCTGTTAGCTTTTAGAAGCATCAAATGCAACTTATGAAGTACTTTGTTAATTTGAATTTAGATAAACAATTGCATTAGTATGGCTATCATTGAATGAAAAGTAAATAAACTGAAGTATAGTATGATGTATGGATAAAACACATCTGAAGACTTTAGTATTTTATCTAAAAGGATAAACAAGTTGGAAACACAGATAAATTACCAATCACTGATGTGCAAATGGAAAAACAGTAAGCTAAAAATGAAGGTTTTTATTCTATTCTTTGATACATATTTTTCAACTTAATAATTAAATGCATTTTATCAGATGCTGTCATATAAGATTGATTTGTTTTTTAAAGATTTTTCTCAAGATTTCCTAAGAGCAATAGAATTAAAGTCACACCATAAGATGAATCTGAAAGTGAAAGCTAGAGCAAAGTTTTCCCTAAGAATGACATTCAGAGAATCAAGGTTACATGATGCAAATTTTAGAATCTGTTTTCTACAGTCTTAGGATGGCACATTTATTTCTGGAATGTTACAGGATACCTCAACCCTAAAAAAAGGTTAATCATGAAGCTTGATTTTAAGCTACTCTACTTGTGGAAATTCAAAAGCCTTCATCTGCAAGAATATGATCAAGGATTTTATATTTTTATAACTGAATGTCATCTCTGTTGCCTGAATATATGATTTTAAGGGCAAATACTTTAACGTGCTTTACAGAATATCAGTACTTCAGGAAAATATCATGCAATTCAACTACATATGAACTGCCGTCTATCACTTGCTTAAATTTTTGTGAGAACTCTGATGAGAGAAACAGCTCAAGTCATTGTTTTTCTAATTCTGCAAAGAAAGTATTATTGAATTCTTATGTAGAATCTTGTGGTAAATTCATTCCTAAGAAAATCTTTGTATCTCCATTAGATCATGTAATCAAGTAGAAACAGTCAGCAATTCAGAACATTTCCTAATTTTGATTAAAAAATTAAATGGCCAAAAAGCTCTGAATACATTTAGAAATTAAAGTCAGTAACTTGCCTCAGTTACCTGATGCATGTATTTTTCAGCTTCCTTTAGTAAATTCTTGTTCTATTTTTACCTGACTTCCTCCTTTAGACATTTTAACCCAATGTATACTCTCATATCAACTTCTAAAGTAGGGGAGTGTTATATAAAAATTATGTTGAGTGTCTTGGTCCCTATAGTTCTTACCATTGTTTCTGGACTACAGTCAGAGTAATCTCATTTTAATGGATATTTTCAATGTGTCCAGTTTATTGTACACAAGAATGAAAAAAATTGAAAATAATTTTTGAATAGTCTAAGAATTTGTAGCAGTTGCCGCATCCACCCTTAGTTTGTTCTTTTGTTGGAACTGAAATCAGCCAAGCTTCTCCACTTGTTCTGTTATCTCCACCAAGGTTAATTCCTCTTTTGCTTTAATCTTTATTGCAAAATTTCTTGTCTTTATGTGCATGTACATCCAGAAAACAAGCTGAAAATGTAAGTGTGAATTATGTTCAATGTTTTTTTTGCTTATCTACTTAAATGGAAAAATTCCTCTGAGAAAATAAGAATATAGTAAAATAACTTATGTTGCTATCTATCATCAATATCCTTTCCTTTCTTTAAGGAAAAAATAACGACAAGCTGCTTTTTTCAAGCCAATCTCTTATTTAAGATGTCTTAACTGATGACTTTTTTAAAATTTTTAATTTATCTTTTTTGTTCAAATACATTTGTCTCTGCCTTCCCCACACCACTTTCCCCTGCTCCCTCCTCCTCTCCCTCCTTCAATCCTTCCCCGCTTTGGCTTTGTCCACGGGTCCTTTATACATGTTCCTTGACTTGACCCTTCCCTTCTTTTTCCCCGCCCACCCCTCCCTCCTTCCCACTTGATTGTTGATTTCTTTTTTCTTTCAATGCTGCTGGTTATATTTTCCTTGCTTGTTTGTTTTGTTGGTTAGGTTCCACACAGAGGTGAGATCGTATGGTATTTGTCTTTCGCCCCGCCCCCCCCCCCCCCCCCGCCGGCTTTTTTCACTTAGCATAATGCTCTCTAGTTCCATCCCTGCTGTTAAGTGATGGCATTTTTAAAGGACTAGAAGAATAGCATTAGCAGCTTCCCAATAATGCTCTTATGTTTGTGTAAACATTTGTCTTTAAAATAATTGCTTAGCAGAATATAATAAGAAAGTTTATATCAGGTTCCATGATTATGGGAATCTTAGTAATTTAATACTTCATAGTAATTAATACTTCTGCAGTAATTTTAATACTTCTGCAATTGTATAACAATGGCAGACATACTTTTTATAATGAATAAAAACTTGGTACAATAATTTAATCCTCCATAAAAGAAAGAAAAAATGATTAATTTCTGTTTCAAAAATCAGTTTGAGAGACATGGAAATACCAACAGATGAATCGTTACAGAAATAGCATTATTTTTAAAGAAAAGGTAAAAAATGCAATAATACTAAGTGTAATACTAAGTATTACCCTAACACAGAAGATGATCACTGTATTTAATAAAATGCATTTGTAATCTACATTGTGATAATTTGACTAATTTCTCAGATAACTACTTACTTCCAAGTAAGGCATGATTGACTGTATAAAAATAATTCGAACTTTTCTACATCTGTATTTTATTCATTTTTTATTTTAATAATAAGGATTATATTCTAAATTATGAATAATACAAATAACTACAAAAAGTGCAACTTCAGTTCTAATCTGTTTTCCTTGCAGAGCGCAGACATGAGCCCAGCAAGTAGCACCACTTCACTTCCTGTTAGTCCTCTTACTGAAGAGCCATTGCCTTTCAAGGTAAAAAAGAAACAAACAAAAACAATTGTTTATAGTATTTTTGGATAGTTATTAAATATTAGTAAAATAGTTAATAAATATAGTAACAATATTTTTTGTGTAGGTGATAAAGTGAACTGCTTTAATCTGTAATACTCATATCAAATATTAAAATACTTGTTTTATTGTCATTCTAGTTGCTAAATAAATGTAAAAGTTTGGAATAGAAATTAATACTTTATGGAACACATTGTTTGCTTGGCATATAAAAGATAGAGATTTCACTGTAATAGTTTGATGTCACATGAATTTGAGGTTTGAAATTTTTACTTATATGAATTTTAAGCAATAAATTTAGAATGAATGTTCAGTCCTCATTAGCTGGTTAAACTTTTATTGATGACTCTAGGTCATAATTATCAAATCTTTACAAAATGATAGTCAAACTTAAGAATTGAAATGTAGAAGTATTCCTCTAAAACATGTTTTTAAAGTATTTAAAGAAAAACTTGTAAAGTTGGGATTATACACTTATGTGCAAGAGTTTCCATTTAGTTTGGTTTAAAGACAGGGAAATGAGGTTTATTATGACTTTCATGATTTTTGTAATTACTATAAAATTATTATTGTTGTGGATTTTTTTATATGAACACTATGCCTTACTCGACTTCATACTACTTATACCTAGTTCAGTGACTGGCATGACTTTATATATACTGAATATTTGCTTTATTGTTAAAGTGAATATAATACAAGACTATGAATTCCATTGTGTATCTTAGTTTTTACTTATGCACACTTTCTTGCTTAGTGATAATAATAATTGTTAAAAGCTTATTTTATAGTATAAAATTGTGAAATACTGAATAGTATTCTGATTATACTGCTTATTGAGAAATATTTCTTTATCTACAACAAACAGAAAATATTAATGTTTCAAAGCTTAGTATTACTTATTTTCATCTTATGGTGCATAGAACAAAATTTACAGAAGAATCATATCTCCAATGAGGTTTTAATTCGATTTTCAAAACATCATCAAAATCCATTTTCACTTTTTAATATATTGACAATGCCTACACTCCTTGAAACTAATGTATTTTTTTTAACAGAGGTAAAATAAAAAGGGAGATATAGCCTAATATGAGCTGACAGAAAGCTAATATAAACATAACTATTTTAGTTAGTTTCTCCTGTTTGTTCAAAGAGATCGATATTGTTCCTGTGTTAACGTGTAAGGGGTTTCATCATCAATTAAAACTTCCAAGTCCTTGTAATATATAATATTGGCTTTTGATAGCCAAGATAGTTATGGTACCTCTTAATTTACTGTTTTGTGAAAGGAATGATATTTATAGTTTTTTGAAAAATTTTATCATGTCTAAAAACATTTCACTAGTATTTAAAAGTATTTAAAGTTTGAAATTACAAAATAAAATTCCTACATTTCTTTAATTTTTATATTATAAATTTTTATTATGTAAATGAGTAATTGAATATGTATTTACTTCTATGGACACACAAAATATATAGAAACTCTTTTGCGATACACCTTAGCACTATAAGTGAATTTTAATTGCAAAAATATGTTGAAAACTCTTTAACTCGTAAAAGACACAAGTTTTCTTATAACCATAGTCTGAAAAATCCTGATATTATCATCTATTTGCATGTAAAACTCTGTTTAAAATTATAATTGACTAAAATATAATTTTTTCTCATTCCCTATGAATATGGCATGGTCTCTCAAGTTAATATAAATTAACCCTTTTTAACCCCTTAGCTTCCTTCTCTAAGACAGTGGTTCTAGCATCAAACTCCATAACCATCTGTTCTAATAAGGTGTCTAAAAGATAAGCTTTGATGGCTGATTGAGGGAATCAATTTTTCTTTTCCCCTGAGATCTAATTAAATTACTAAAACAAATGTATTCCATTCTTTTTCTTGGTCTATTTTGAAAGTACTCATACAATAGTTGAAGGAAAATATCCTTTTTTGGCTCAAGTGTTTATCAAAATGAATGCTTTTCTTTATCATCTTTAGAATGACATTCAGATTAAACTGATTTTAACCACATTTCAAATAAGGAGATATATATACATAGATAGATAGATAGATAGATATATGTATCTATCTATCTATCTATATATATATATCCTAATACTTATAGTTACATTTCCACTAATATATCTATTTTTATCCTTGACCTGAATACTAGATGAGATATTTGCTATCAATAGGCCAATAGTACCAGAGAAAAGCTACTAAATTAAATGGGGAAGAAAACTGGGTCATGGGTAGCATGCTTGAGAGAATCTCCCAAGAAGTCAAGACAGGTAGGTTAAACAAGACAACAAATCTTATTTGGGACCAAATGCTTCTTTTCCTTAAGAAGGCAGTATTTTTCAACAGTATTAACATTCTTCAAGTTAATTTTTAAGCATAATGAGATCTGCACTGAAAGATAATTCAAGCCCCATATATTTACTTCTCTGTTTTATTCCACAGAGCATTTAACCTCCTACTAAACTTCTTAAACTTTCATTTACCATTTAAAGCCTATCACTGTAATGTTTTGTTTTGCTTAGCTAGTCTTTCAAAAGAGGATGTTTTCTGTAAATATCTCTCCAGTCTTAAACAAATGCTCAGAACTCTGTGTCCCTCGTTCAGATAGAACTGAGTGACCAAAAATAAGTAGGGCTGGGCACATGAATGCCATTTTACTGCAGTCGTCACCATTCCCTACTGTATTCATATCAGGCCACAGAAGCTTTCAAATATATCCTTTCAGAGAAAAAGATATATAATGCATGATTTCCTACATTTGCTGCAAGTAATAAACTCACAGATTTCCCAGTCAGACTCCTGGTGCTGAGAAATTTCTAGGATTCCAACTTCATGTATATTATGCAGACTATTGTTATGGACATTCTTTTGAAGACAGAAGGCATATGTAGAACCTCTATTTAAAAAAATAAAGATTTAATTAATTTATTTTTTAGAGAGAGAGGAAGGGAGGGAGAAAGAGAGGGAGAGAAACATTGATGTGCAAGAGAAACATCAATCAGTTGTTTCTTGCATGTGCCCCAACCAGAGACTCAGCCCTCAATGCAGGCATGTGCCCTGACCGGGAATCCAATAGGCGACCTTTCACTTCGTGGGACTACACGCAATCAGCTAAGCCATGTCCATCAGGACTTACCTCTTTTTAAAAATGCAGTATTTAGCATTATGTAATTTCTATACACAACTGGTCTGTCATATACCACTGCATCATTGTGGAAAGGCCAAGGGATAACTAATTTTTCATGGGCGGGAGTAGTATGTTATCAAATAACCAATAATAGAATCACAGAAGTTCACATTTTTCTAAGACTTTTATTTGAAAAAAATAGAGAGTATACTACTTAACTGTTAATTACAATTTTTGTGGTTTTCCATAGAGTAACAGTAAACCAAGTTGGCATTGTTAAATTTGAACATCCCATTTTACTGTATTCCACATTTCTCTCTGCCATTCCCCCTGATTTCTCTTAACAATCCAATCGCCTGCTTCCCTGCTCCCTACACTAGGCTCAGTCAGACATCCCAGGTCAAAGATGCCTTGGGGCCACCAAATTTTACTGTTCTTTAGTTGCATCGCTCTATTAATTTATTTTTATATTAACAATTTCAATCCATTCCTGGAACTAACACTCTTAATGCTAAAGCTGGCTCGCTGTTCCCAGCCCTCTATAATAATACTTGTTATTTTGGCCATGTTATTTTTGCCAGCCACTTCTACTACATATTTTTAAATTTATTTGTACCTCAGTAAAGCATGGCTGCTAGATTTAGTTCTTTTTCCCCAAAAAAGCAGCTTTTCTTTCATTAGATATGTTAAAAATATATATGTATATATGTTTCAATATATATGTATTCAATATATAAATATATATGTATATATTTTTCTCCCTTACCCATTTATCCTTGTCCTGTGAGAAATTCAAACAGGATAGAAACAAATTCAACTCAATTTTTCTTAGACTCTGCTTCAAAAGTACACAAAGGCACTAAAGTATATCTTCCATTCACCAATCTTCAAAGTCCAAAAATAGGCATAAATAACTTATTACCTTTCTTGGCCTGTTCACTGAATGCTGCTTCTCTGTGATATTTGAGTTCCTAGGCTGTCGAATGGGTTTGGGTATCTAGTGGTTAGAATATGCAATGGAGCCACCCTATCTGAGGTCCAGCCACCTTCCCAGAAGCAGCCGCAGAGTGGTGCCGGCTCTTACCTGGGTCTCCTCGTGCAGTCCACAGTCCTCTTGACTCCTTTTCCTCATCTCCAGAAATCATCATTTAGTCTAGACTAGAAAAACCCTCACTCTCCAAAGTTTCCTCAGATATTATTCCTCTCTCATTTAATTAGCCAGGGTCTGGAAAAATCATCTTGATGTACTTTTTAGAAATAGAATTAAGGAAAGGAATTATCTCAAGTGTCTGAAAATTCTTCTGTCTTGACACAAATCTCACTTTAAGAAGCACAGAGTCACCTGTTTTAAGCAAGGGACTGGAGATGGAAATAGAGAAATAATAATGTACCAAAAAATACATCCTGTCATGAAATGCTGGAATGTTATGTTAGAGGGAGAAATGGTGGTAACTCCACTTGACTTAGGAACATGTAGTAACACACATAGCTTGCTCTCAATAATACAAAATAAATATTATACAGGAAAAAAATCCAGGAAATATACAACTATCAACTGTCATATTTTAAAGGTTTTTTTTCCCCCTGTAGTTTCTAAAATGGCCATTTATTTCTACTTTAAGAACAATATTTATTTTTAAGAAAATGGAAAAGAGAGCTGGAAACACTAAAAACACTGTAGTCTGGTTAGGAAACTGCCTGGAAACAAATCCCAGTTCAGCCATTTTTATTTGGGTGACCATGAGCCTTTGTGTCTTTATTTTACTATCTACGAAAGGGAACAACAGCACCCACTTCTTCATTGGGCTCTTCTTCTGGTCTCTCTTAT